TGCTGAATATGAACATTTTAGTTTTAAAGCAAGCAAAAATTGCACTTTCTTTAGAGAAAGCTAAATTTAAAAATAAAGGTAACATCTGACTGATTACCTGTTCTCCAATAATGTTTGGTTTCACTGGTCGACAAGGTAAGTGACAGATGCACATTCTGTAACCTAGAATGAAGAATGGTTGGTTGTGATATTGCTGTTCATTAAATATTCAATTTTCATTAAAAATTATTAGCAAATTTTGTAAGAATAACAGATTCTTGTATTTGTAAATGCCATAATTAATTTACTTAAATGAAACTGCCTTAATTTACTTGTTATATATGATGTAGTATAAAAAACATAGGAGACCCAAGTTTGAATTCTGGTTCTGCCAAGACTATCTGTGTTATCTTAGATTAGCTATTTAGCTTCTCTAGAATTCAATTTTATCATCTATTCTCTCCCATCTTGACTTTTTCTTAGGCTTCATCTTTGCCTTATGCTAATTTGCCGCTACAAAGACTCTTCATTTATTACGCTGTTCAAAATGTGGACCCCTCCAGGGCCAAGCAGAATATGCAGTACAGAACAGATGCTTAATAAGTGTTTGCCAAAATAAACTACTTGTGTTATATATTGCTATTGCCTAGACAGTAATATGGTCTTTTATTAATAAACACATTAAAAGAGGTGTACGGCCCAGCCGGCGTTGCTCAGCGGTGGAGCATCGACCTATGATCCAGGAGATCTCAGTTCGATTCCCGGCCAGGGCACATGCCCAGGTTGCAGGCTCAATCCCCAGCTGATCAATGACTCTCTCTCATCACTGATGTTTCTCTCTCTCTCTCTCTCTCTCTCTATCTCCCTCTCCCTTTCTCTCTCTGAAACCAATAAAGATATATTATAAAAAATAAAAAAAGAAGGGTATGAATCCCCCATAATTTTAAACTTAAAATACTTGATTAAGTTCACAATGAAATTCCAAAACTGGTATCAAATCTTAAATTTCATTTACATAATTTTTTAGCAAGCACAAAAATACTAACCTTCAAATTCAACTGAGACTTTCCAGTGTAAATTTTGAAGGTGCCGACGAAGCTTATGGCTGTTACAAGCTCTGAATTTTTCCTTAGGGCACAATGGACAAGACTGTTTGTTTCCTGATAAAGAAAAAAGAACCAATAAGGCACAGAACATACTAGCTATTAATGCTTAGATTCAGCAATGAAAACAAAAGAGGGGACCCCAACCCCACCCCACTTCTTAGATAATGTCTTTCTTAACTTCAGGGAGACGTCACCCCTGTCTCAGGAGTAATTGTTTCAGCACAGGGTCAGTGATTTTTATCCTAAAACTCCCCTCTCTGTGGCTAGCTGCTAGCCTTGCTGCCACTGGGAACAAAAAGGATGAGGAATGATAACCTATATATCCCTCCAGCCAAAATGCGTGGCAAAGAGAGCCATTCTGTACTTTGGAAGGGGAAAAAGGCAGCAGTTGTCACACTCCCAGAGGGGCAGGAGCTGAGCAGAGAGAGTAAGTGGCTGCTGTGGTATTCTGCTATTCTGGCAGCAACAAAAACAGTTAATATGTGGAGTTAGAAAAATGGAAGAAGGAACACAAAGCAGTAGAAGGAATTTAATATAATTGCTATTCTGAGACTGGAGGCCATGATTAGAAACACTGTATCCTATTACTGAATTTGTAAAGTCGTCTTCCTTTATTAAGCATATTCTTTCAAAGATTATGGATCATCAAAATAGAAGTCTTATTTAATTAGAAATGTATCTTAAATAGAAACTTGGATAATGCACAAAAAGAAATAAAACCTTAAATTCAGATTTAAAGCAATAAAAATATATAGAAATAACCAATAACCCACTTAATAAATTTTAATCCAACAAATATCTCATATATAGCACACTGTAAGTAAAGACACTATTTATTTTTTTAATACTTCGCCTTCTTCAAAAAACCATGAGGTGATCTTAAGGATGGAATCCAAGCACTAAGGATGGCAAATCAGAGAGAGAGGAGCTTGGGGCATTGACAGTATTGTGGAACTCTTGTACCAGCCCTAAATTGCTTCTCTTGGTACTTATTTTACTTGAGAGAATATGAGCCTCCATATTTAAGGCAATGTATTTTTGGGATTTTTGTTATTCATAGCCAAATGCAATGACTGACTCATAGAATACATATACCCTTATCTATCCATGAGATTGTAATTTCCCTGAGGAGTTACAAAATCACTAATTCCCACGGCACCTTTGCATATAGATGCCGATCAGTTTCCTGAATAAAAATTATTTACTACTGTTCTAGTTCAATGGAATATACAAGTCTATTCCCAACAAACTTTTCATGAGTTGAAAGATGACAAACCATTAGAAATTAAGAAAAAAACAAACATGAAAATACCTGCATCAAGATTATCTGAGTTCAATGAACTAGCAGAGTCAAAATCCCCTTCAGTTACAAAAGCTAACTTCTCTAGGTCAGCAAGCTGCCTCTGAATTGAGATGTGTCTCTCTGAAAAGGAAATTTAAGAATTAGAAAATTACGCTTTAACAATCTCTATTTCAGTTCCATTTTTATTTATTGCTTCACCTAGAGTTTTACAGTTTTATTTCCTGAAACGTAATATCCTAATACCAAGACGGGGAATACTGCTGGAATCCAGTTTATAAAATGACAAGTGTGCCTCAGAATGCACAAAGAGAAAAAGGGTCAATTTATAGATCACAAAGTAATTTTTAAAAACGTTCTTAAACCTTAAATTTAAAAATGTTCAGAAGACTCTTAAGAAAATATTACTCATCAATCTTTTCAAGTCCTTTATGGTCCAAGAAATCACCACTTAGAAAACATGCACGCACATTCAGAAGCACAAACAATTAATATGGGCTATAATTTTTAACAGTTTTCTGATGGAATGGGGTACAAAACTCAATTGGTATTTCTGTCTGAGGGAAGACATCCATAATTTAGCTGACTATTAAACTACTCATCCTCCCCAAATTCTTTTCGGAAGCAAGCTGCTACAGAAAATGAAATAATGAGAAAAACCAACTTTTTGTGTATGTCGAGGCAGAAAGCCTAGTTGAAAGCGATGGTTTCTCAATCTCGGCAGCTAGGGTCTACCACAGTAAACACGGGTGGTCCCGGTTCCTAAGTCCCATTTTAAACGACTCAGTGTCGAAGCTGAGGGAAACTACCAGATCAGGTGTAACTTCCTATTTTTGTACCGGAAAAAGGCCCCCCTTAACGAAGAAGCCCTCAAGTTCATTTTGCAGCATCCCTGGCCTCCACATAACCTTCATCGCAGCGTCCTCGAGATTTGCGGACATGCCTTCTCCTCTCCTGCGCCCGCGCGCCGCGCTGCACGCGCCCCTCCCGCCTCCCCCATTCCTCTACACCTTCCTTTCCCCATAAAAACCATCCCAGTGAAGAAGGGCTTTCCCCAGCAAGATGCACTTTCTGGCTTCTGCTGCAGCAGAAAGACCTGGGCCTCCTGCACTTACTGCTTTCAGCCTCGTCTGGGGCAGAGGCTAGGGACGGGGACAGGGCCGGAGCCTGAGCCAGGGCAGGGGCTGGAGCTGGAGCCGAGGCCGGAGTCGGAGCCGGGTCCGGGGCTGGAGCTGGGACCCGAGCCGCGTCCGCGGCCGAGGTCGGGACCTGGGCCGGGGGCACCTCCTCCTTCTCCTGGGGCTGCAGCTCCTCCTCCGCCATATTCTCCATAGTTACCGCCTCCGTGCCAGACCCGCTCGGGGACCAGGAGGGGCTCACGGCGGGGTCAGATAACTGGCGTGAATGACCAGAGTGCTGGATCCCAGGAGTGGAAAGCAAGTGGGGAGGGCGGGATGCGTGCAATAGACAAAAGATGAAGAGCCAGCGACCAATGCCTGTCAGCAGAAAAATTAAAAGCCAGAGGCAGAGATTCACCGTTCCATCCGCTTCCCTTTCCCCAAGGCGTTACGACGCCACTGCACACTGCGCAGAAGCGAACTGGGGACGGCGACCAATGAGGTAAGAGAGTTCTGTTTCCAGCGTGCGTCTCCGTTCCAGCGTTCAACCACCAAACTGTGCCAAGACTACAATCCCCAGGGTGCACCGCGCCGACGGGGGCGGAGCCGGAGTTCCCAGTCCTAGGAGAGAGTGAATACTCCGGAGTGGTAATCTGGGTCCCAGTGCAGAACTACATTTCCCAGCGGGCCTCGGGCTCAGGGGTCTCTTTTCCTGGGTCCGGCCTCCGGAGTCACCACAGCCGCCGGCGCTGGTAAGGTGGGGAGCTGAGGGGTTCGTTGACATTTTGCCAGGCAGGCTGCTCCGGTTACTCCGGGACCCTGGCGGCAGCCGGCCGGCCTGGGGACTCAGGGGGGCTACTCGAGCTTGAGGCGGGCGACTGTGTGGGCGGATCCGGGGTCGAGCCCTCTCGGTGAAGGGCGTGGTCCTGGCCCGGCCCTGCCTCTGGGGCTGCCCTTCGCTCGGCGTAGTCTAGTCAGTTTCCGCGGAGCCCGCGGGCTGGTGGTTTGCTAGCGGCTGACGAGCTCGCCTGTCAGCCCGGCTGATTCGAGTTGGGGTCCGCGCCCCGTCTCGCACCCTCATGCACACCGTGACCCGAACACTCTTCTTTTGTCTTTACTTTTGCTGTAATCGACATGTCCCCAGTTTCCTCAGCGCCGCGCCGCCGTGTCGGCGTCCGGGGGATAGGGTTCTCCCCGCCCCCTCCCGCCCGTATCTAGGCTTTTAACCACCAGAACTCCGAGCGTGCTGAGCTTCGGGGCGCCTGAGTGATGCGATTCAGATTCCCTAAGGCCAGTGAGCCCCCAGCCCCCCTTAGCGCTTCTCTTCCCTCGACTCCGGGCCCGCGGGAGTTGAAGCCGCTCTCACTGAACCCGCGGGGCCGGCCGGGGGGAAACTCACGGTCTTCGGCTGCCCTGCCTGGGGCGGGGCCCGACGTTAGAGGCGACAGCAGAGGGAAGCCTCTCTCGGCCTCAGGTACCAGACAATTAAAAAACCGGGTGATGACCCAATATTGACTTGTAGAAGCGAGTTGTGACTAACTAACTGTACTTGTCCGTTATCCAAGAACCACTGAAAGACTAGATGGTGAGTTGAAAGCTTGATTCAGTATGTCAATCTTACCATGTAATACCAACCGGAAAACAGAAGATGCCGGGTTAGATTTTAGGGTGTGCCTCCCATGGGGATTTTAGTAAGACTTTCTAAGCGTGGTTCCTGCCCTTGAGACATCCGCAAAGAAGGAATCTTCCGAGTTTGAAGAATTATATTGAGTGAGTGTAATTACTAACCTACTGCTGCCTAAATTACCCCAAAGCCAAGTGGCTTAAAGCGATAAACATCTGTTACCCCGCCATTTCAGTAGGTCGGGAAATTCAGAAATGGCTTTTTGGGTGTATCTAGCCCCGGTTCTCTCATGAGGTGGTGAAGATACCTTGGAAAGGCTTGATTGAAGCTTCAGGATCAGCTTCCAAGGTGGCTCGCTCACATCCTTGGCACTTGGTGGTGGTTTCTTTTGGCAAGAGGCGGCAGCCCTTTCCTGGTGGGCATCTCCACAGGCTGCTTGACCGTCCTCATGACCTGGCGGCTGGCTTTCTCTAGAACGAGTGGTTCAGGACAGAGAAGGGCAGAAGCTGCAATGTCTTACATGACCTAGCCACAGACCGTGGTATAGCAGTATCCTATTGGTAACAGGTCAGCCCTATTTGCTGTGAGAGGGGACAGCTAGCTACGTAAGAGTGTAAAGCTACCAGGCATCAGAGATCATCAGGAACCATTCTGGAGGCTGGCCGGCCCAGGAGGTCTCCTCTCACTTACTTTATATTTCGATTTTCATAAAATCAATATGAATTTCACACTTCATAAAGCACTTGTCATGGTAAACATATAGTGTTTTTCCTTCATTAGTCCACTTATCGGCAGTGGTGTGTTTTTTTTCTATTTGTCTTGTTGGGTAGGAGGTTTAAATTAGCATTATTTTGTATTCAAAGCAACATCAGACCAACATGGATCAAATTTAAATTTTAAAAGTAACATAAGCAGTCCATTGCCTCTAAACAATTCACTGTATGGAAATTATTGTATTAACTCCCCCCCCCCCCC